AAATATTCAAGGATTATCAATGTGGTTGCATGGTCACATTGTTCACACTTTTATGTCCAAAGGCAGTGTCCCTTAGCAAGCCTTCTTTTAAATGGTTACAATGAAAGTTGAAGGCCTAATAACCTTGCATTACCTCATTTTTATGCTGGCATAACTCTCCTTAAAATAAATGAAGATGAACCAGTGTAAAACTGGAGTAATGTAGTGAAGTGGGCCATAAGCTTATTTTTAGCATCAATAAATTGTCAGGTATTTATTTTAAAAGATATTCACAAATTAATAAAATTGACTTAATAACTGTGCATAAACAGATGTTTCCTTCATTCCAAGAATAGTATGTACCTTTAATTTCCACTGAAACCAACAGGAATTACAGTGGTCAGTACTTCCGTGGATCAGGGCCTGTTTTTGGAAGGCTTTTAACACAATATTTTCATCTTGGCATGTGTTGGTCCAACTTTCTGCAACCCTCCCTTATAGGAGTTATGTTTAGTTATGTGGCAATAGCTGCAGAAGGTCTAGCCAGTAAAAGTTACAGTATTGATCTCCTCATTTGTTTGGATGATGTAGTTGTAAACTGCAGAACAGGGTTAGAAAACCTCTTTTCGTAAGCAAAAAATTGGCATCCAATTGCTTGTCCAAAAAAAAATGTCCATGAATTACTTCTTGGATGCTGTCAGACAAATATACATATACGGTGGTTTGCAGGTACAGTATCACACATGCTTAACCAACAAGTTATAGAACTATTGGCCAGCAGAACTGTGACCTCTTAATGGGGCTGTGTGGGAAATTGCACAAGACTTCACAAGGATTATGAAGTTCATGTTTGCCAGCATTGTGTGATTTCACTGAGTTCTATCCGAGGTCGAGGAGAGCATTGCCCATGTGCACAGCTCTCCTTTGAGAACTGGATGCAGGTCACCCTTTCACTTCACATAGCAATACTGAACAGAATAAAGATGAAAATTACGCTCAGGAACAACCAAACTGAACTTGTCTGGATTTCAAATCTGCAATCACGAACGGAAGCCCACACATTTGTATCCTTGATGTCAGTCTCTGTAGAGAATCTTTGGCCTGATTGTGCCTGGTACAAGTGATGAGGTGGTGTTAGAGCAGTTTGCAGTGCCAGTGCCTATGCTGTAAATGCTCTGTGCATACAGAGGACTTTGTTCTTCAGGACAGTCAATCCAGAACACGTTTCAGTGGCACTATGTTCATTTGAAAGAGCTTTCTGGGGATCACTACGCCTAGATTTATACTACAATGGAAGTGTGTGTGTGGGGGGGGGAAGCAGTGCTTAGATTATATAACATTTTCACTAAAACAGAAAGCAGAATATTAATATTGAGGACAGTTTTTCTTAGACTGAGCCACCCAGAGTACAATGTCAAGGTCAAGCATACAAAACCTGCTTTGTAAGACATTCTCAGGTTAGGCTGAGCACTGCACTAATTTCCTCTGCCAGAAGAATACTGCCACATGAAAGCGACATCAGCATATAATTGAAATAATTTATTTACCACTAGAGCACCACAAAAACAGACATACAATGTGTTAAAATACAGAGTAATCGGTCACCAAAATACAACACAGCTGTTCTTAGGTTCCTTTTCGTTTTTAACTATGCCATCTATACCATTGTATTGTTGCTAAATACAAAAAATGCTGTCCTAACCCACCCAGCTAAGTGCTAAGATTCTCCCTCAGCCCCACCTTTGGGTCTGATCTTTTGAGGTGCTGAACATCTCCTGTCAAGTGCTGAATGTCCTCAGTTCCCAATGACCTCACTGAGAAAAGAGTGGGATCAGCGGCTCACAGGGTGCCCTCACAATTCAAGGCCTTTGTATCACTATGTCCTACTTCTACCTCATTGTGAGGATTTACAGTGGACATAAGTGGTGCCCAGGTCTCATACCAACCCTCTGCAGAGAGGTGATTTTCACCCAGAAGGAGCTCTGCACTTTGTAGGATTGAGCCCAAGGTCCTTATCAATAAAAATGGAAATACATGCCTAATAAGCCAAAAAAGGAAAAGGACATTGGAGTTTTAAAATAGAGTTTTTCAAATACTATCAGTGCCTTTCTGGGGGAGAAAAAATAGAAAAAACCCCCAAAACTTTAACCAATTTGGAGAAAAATACCTATGGGTATTATACACAGACTTGCAAAATATATGGAAAAACCCAAACTCAAGCTTCTGGCTGCATCCAGCGCATGATGAGTGTATTGGGATGCAAAGTGCATCTGATCATATCCCATTCTTTCAAATCATCAAACTAGAAAATCAGTTTTTTGGGGTATATTTAAATTGAAAGATAATTTCAAGCATTACTTTTTAATGCTGCTTACTTTTGTTCCATTCCCCTCCTTCCCTGCCCCCCCCCGCCCCAAAAAAGTGTTTGTATTTAAGCTAATAAGAGAGATTAAGGCCATGTGAAACAAACACTAGCAGCTACAGTACTTCCTACCCAGAGGAATTTCTTTAATTTTAATGGATCTCTCCAATATGGCCCCTGAGAGCATCTGTAGGATTGGACCCTTAATTTGTTAAACTTCAGTTCACTAATTTAAAAAAAAAAAGAAAAACAACAATGCATGTACCTCCTCTGCATTGAGAAAAATGGGTGGGATTAGATTATTCATAGGGCTATATTTTGGTCTTGGTAATAAATCGGGGACTCCAAATGACATCCGTGGAAGCTGTCTGTGCCAATCAAAGAGAAAGAACCCACATCTTGGGCCTGCTTCTTGATTATGTTGCTTGCATTTTACACAGGTGTTACTCCACCGACACCAAAGCAGTTCCGCTGAAGTTAACACAGTGGAAGATCAGTAACCTAATGTTTAACTGTAAGGCCCAAGTCATCTTCCTGTGTTGTATGAGGGAGATGCGGTCTTCTTCCAATTACCATATTTCTTTGCATAGATTTCTAGGTCTGCCAGTCAGAAGAGTTTATAATAGAAAATAAATTGAACTACTTACTTCACATGCTTTTACATACACCTGTCTAAAAATCTTTTTTTTTTAATAATGTGTAGAATGCTGATATTTCTTGTTCTATCTAGAAAATTATCAAAATTATTAGAGCCAAAGGGCATTTCCTAGGAGCCTATTTCTTTGTTTTAAAAGATATGACAAAAACTGTTTTCCATGAAAAGAAGGATTAAACAAAATTCAGCAGAACTCACAAATGTAGGGCCTGCCCCTGCAAATCTTTATGCACATCAAGACCCAAAAGGAGCTTAATTTGCTGTCATAGGAATCAATAGCAAAACTTCTCTAGACCTCAGTGGGGACAGGATCAGCCCCATAGGTCAACAATAGATCAGTCATTCATGTGCAAGAGGTCCAACACAAGACTTATACAATTGTGAAGTCTCACTCTAGTCTTGTGGGCTTCTGTGGTGCATACAGTTTGTACCAGTCCTTTACATGGTGGTAAATACTGCTTTTTAAAGGGTTTGCCTTCTGTCAATCAGACTGTGAAACCTTCTTTTATATTTTTTTTTTAAATCTAGCTCCCTAACCATCTGTTGGACTGTCTTTAGCCAGTATACAAATTGGGTATAAAACTTTGCAAATGTGGATAAACTAGGGTGGGAAGAAAAAGAGAACAGGTTAATCCATCCTCTTTGTAAAACAGAACAAAAAAACCCAAAACAAATGGAGTCAGGTAGCTTATGTCATAATGATGAACAATATACAAAGCACATGTATAGCAAATATTATAAAACATGTATTTGTAGTGCAAGTCAAAATATAGGGACTCTACTCATACTGGCCAGCTGGAGGGAAGCACATGATTCTGAGTGATAAAAAAGAGCCCCAAATTCAAATTCCAACTCAAGAGAGTTGACAGTATTACAGAATACAAAAATATGGTGAAAATTTACATATTACACATAAAGTACTTATTTTTTTTAATAGTTTACAATAGAGATCTACAGATATGTTTCCAATTAAGCTGGTTTGTACTACCCACCTATTGTAATACTCTAGGTATGGTTACATATACCAAAAGAACAAAAAATCCCATAGCATAGCTATACAGCAACATATTAAGGTCTGAAGATTAGACCAGTACATGTTAAATATTCCACTGGTTTACTAAACTGACATTTAAATCATTTACAGTAAAAAAATCTTAAACACTTGTCTTTGAGACTGAAACAGAATGTCCTTTATTAGTAAGTTTTCAGTATTTAAAACAAGGGTTTGAGACCTTACAAGAAGCCTCCCTAGGCAGCTGGCATGTAAAATATGGCAAATTTTGTCAAAAATGCAATAACTGACTTCTATTTTAATTGAACTAAACTAATTATATTTTCAGGACTTCTTGAGCTCCAGTTTCCTAAGCATTAAACATATTTCTGGCAGTTTGTTTGGTCTCCACTTTGTCCACTCCCCTGCCCCCCACCCCCCAAGGGCGATGAAATGTTCGCTGGATTGTTTTTTTGTTTTTTGTTTTTTTATACACAAATAAATAATGCACTGTTAGCTCTAAAACTAAAAAAGGAATGGGTAGGATGCCTATCATGTAACAATACAGAGAGATCAAGTAAGGCACGGGACAGATACAGCAACACCACTTAATAGGATTTTCCTGTTTTTTTCCTTTCACATAGTAACACTAACAAATTCTTCCAGTGTTTATTTTTTAAAAGGTTTTTTTTCTTTTTTTGCTTCTTGTCTATCTCACTAACTGAGTAGATGAAATGTAAGATAAAGGCCTTCAACGTTTTGCTTCAGATGCCAGTTTAACAAAACAAAACAAACTTTCAAACAGTTCAGACTAGTACCGCTTTTTTTCTTCTTTTTTTTTCTTCTTTTTTTTTTTTCC